AGATTTGCATAGTGCATGTTACTTTTCTTTTTGTGTTTTTTTTCTCTCCTCCTCTTGTGATAGTTTTAATTGTCAACTTGAGAGAATCTAGAATCACCTTGGAAGAGAATGTCAATGAGGAATTATCTGGATGACTTAGGCCTGTGCCATGTCTAGGTGGGATTGTCTTGATTAAGTTCACCGATGTGGGAAGACCCAGCCGACTATGGCAGCACCATTCCTTGGGTTTGGGTCCTGGACTGGACAAGAGTAGAGAAAGTGAGCTGAGCACTGGCAGGCAGGCAAGCAGCCATTGTCTCTCTGCCCTTGACTGTGGATGTGACTAGTTGCTTCAGGCTCCTGCCTTGACTTCTCTGTGAGTTCTCTGTGAATTAAAGTAAACCCTTTTCTCCCCTAAATTGATTGTTGCTAGAATATTTTTATCACAGCAACTGTACAAGAAACTTGGAAATCCTCTTTCTTTCCTTCTCCCTTCTGTCTTCTGTCAATATTCACTTTCAGAATCTGTTAGGTTAGAGATAGAACAGTGGGCAAGATCAACACAGAACAGAGTCGTTCCTTTACGGGTGTGTGTGGGTCAGGAAGATGAATGACACAATAGGTGAACTTACAGTTGACTCATTTCTTACTGTAATATTTTAAAAGAATATTGCATAATATTTCATTTGAATACTTATGCATCCATGGAAAATATGAATATTTACTTCCTTATTAATTTTATTCTTAACTATCAAAATAAATAATACCTTCATATCTTCAGCCATCTCAGGTCCATATTCAATCACATTTCCCAAAGGTAATTTATTATTCTATTTTAATAAGACCTGAGCAACAATTTGATTTGTTCAATGCCTGAAGATTCAGAATTGTTTCCTACTTCTTGTGTTCCCCGAACAGTCCTGCTTCACAGAATTGACACTGATTGGCTGACAGGGTTATGTGTAGATGTCTCCTGAACAGACATTTGGTTCTTTGGGTGCAAATTTGCTACCCAAAATGCAGTTCTCATAGTTTACCCCCTCCCTGTGACAGTCCTTTCTGAGAGGCATGGGAGGTTGGGGCAGGACTAGCTGCTGATTCCTACAACAGTTCCCTGCAGGTTTGTATGTGAGATTTATTTTGTTTTAGAACAACTGTAAAATACCACCATATTCTTCTGTAGTTTTATTTGTTTGGCCCTGTTTATTTACTTAATTTTGTATTTCCAAAAAGGTACTTTGCTTTTCTCTGATGTTTAATTAGTTATTTCCCTAGATTTCTTACATAGATTTTCAGGGA